TGAATGGAACTTTGCTGGGCCACCAACTAACTGTCCTTCAAATCATGCGAACAGGTCAAGCCCTGCCTCTCTTTCAGTACTGTCTGCCTCGCAAACTCGGTGGACTGACGAGAAAGATGATTCGTTCCTGAGCAAAGATCCAATCAGTTCATCTGTGCTGCTGGTTGCTTTACCCTACATGGACGTCAAGCATAGAGAGTCCTCTATTTTTCTGTGGAAAGTTCAGTGTGTCCCCGTGCCCGTCTCAAATGGACCATGACAATTTGACCAAACTGTTCCTGTGCGGATTCTGAACTTGGGCTCCTGGCCAACAAGTACCAGCTTGGAGCCCGAGGCGTGCTCGAACTGAGAACGAAGCAACACAAGCTTTGCAATTCATGACTATGGTAGGTCTCAAAGCTGGTCCCAAAATTGGGCCAAAAAAGGTGGCCTGCTTTTCCCTTTAAAGCCAACGACATGGAGAGAGGTGTTTTGAGCGTTGGTTGTTCGCATCCCCAGCATCCCCCAGCATCCCCAGCCAGGCCCGGGGTCCTCGGGTTGCATGGCTCTGATTGGGGCTCGCTCTCATTTTGGGTGGTTTTCGGCTGCCCTTGATCTTGGGTCTTGGTGCTGCTTTTGGGTGGGGTTGTGGGGTTGGGATTTGATTGGAGCTTATTTGTGTTAGGTGTGCTGCTGTAGCGATGGCTTTTGGTTTGCTCTGGGGTGTGCTGGCGTGGGGCAACGCTCCAAAACCAATCCTAAACCAGCGCAAAACTCACGTAGCCACACCCTAAAGAAAAAAGTAAAGCAGAAGCCGAACAACTACACATCAACACAAATCAGCTCCAAACGAGCTCAAGAAAACAAACACACAACCAGCTTTGCACCTCGACAAAGCTCTTGGTGGCCGATTTGTTGTGCTTCTCGACGAAGTCCTGCTAAGTCAGGCTAACCGCCAGACAGCAAGAAAACAAGAAGTGTTGTAGACAGGCCAGCAGCGCGAAAAGATAGCTCCTGCGAGCGAAAGTTGCAAACACCCACTCAAGTAATCTGGCCTCTGTCCCTAGTATCCCCGAGAGACGGAATAGTCCTAGTTCCTCAAGAGGACACGGAAAAAAGTCGAGCGAACCCAATGTGCCCCTCAAACAAAACCAGTAACCCCGCAGACATGCTCCTCAGCTGGGGAAGCTGCTGGAAGTAGCCAGCCTACTCGGAGTTCAGCTGACATGTTTAAAAAAAAAAAATGCGTCAGAGTCAAAAAAATGCGTCATGTGGAAACATGTGGAAACCAGCGAAAAAGATGTCATTTCCCACTAGATGGGAAAAGTTAGCCTCTTCGCGGCCTGAGCAGCTACCTTGTGGGCTTCGTAGACTTCTCGTGCGCCACCGTACCTCAAAAAAAACGCCAGGATCTGATAGTTATTCTAAGTCCTGTCATGTTGCTAGGCCCGGTGCTTGTCCACCAACGAGACCACATCATACACAGGACCTTGCCACAAAAACCGCATCGGACGAATGTTCAAAACAAAGGCACTGAAACTATGCGTGCGGGCCAGAGGGAATCACCACAGCCTGCAGCAAAGCTCGCGCGAGAGAAATCACTGTGGCCCTTCCAGACCTGCGAGATTTCTTGTTGCCTCTTTACCTCGGAAGCTCGAATACAACGCACATCATGGTGATAAGATCAGCATGCTGAAGCACGTTTTCAGTGAGTGCACGAGTCATTGAGCCCTCCGGTCGCACCGGTCAAACTAAGGCTGTTGCTCTTGCGAGTTCAATTTCCACCTGGAGCTTGCGCAGATTGTGCGGTTCCCATCATGGACATGGGACCATTACAGTTTGTATGGGGAATTGACTGAGTCCCCCATGTCCCTCCCAAAGTGGGCAACGATATATTTTGACCAAACTTCGTATACAACCAATGGTAACAACTGCACTGGTCTCTTACCGATTCCCCTGCCTCAGGATTGTTGGCTTCTGCGTCCTTGACCGCCGCAAGGGCAATACCTTATGACTCATGTATAGCAGGACCATCTCAGTCACCCATTCTTACAACAATCGAAGTCAGACTTGGGCAGGAGCTGTCAGCAATATCATCGTACTCCGTCAGCTCCCGTGCGAGTCTCTCATCATCCGCGTCTTCTGCCTTGCTCCGGTGCAGCTCGGTTTGAAGCACGCTCTGACATTGGCGGAGCAGGCCCAAGCCTCTTGAACGACTTTCTCCAAATCGACCTCTGAAGGATCTTTGGCCTGCCACAGCTGTGCTGTGCTTCACTCAAGTTGAGATCTAGGAAACGGTTTGGATGCTGCGTTTGTGGATCTACCCCCGCAGGACCCAAAGGAGCACTAAAAGAGTCCTAAAAAAGGCAGAAAAACAGGGAGAAGCCACACAAGGCGCTTCAAACTGTTTCCTGGTCGAGAGCTCCAGCCTGTGCTTTTTTCACTATGGCATTCTCAGGGTCCTGCCACGAAGACATGAAGACATATGTGATGCCACGGGCCATCCCCACAACTGCGGTTTCACTTGGGAGATTCGCCACAAAAAGCAGGCCCAAGGCCAAGTTTTGCACAACCATCGGTGTCTCGCTTGGAGAAATAGATGGGTTTCCCTGACAAATGGAATGGCACAAAACAATCTAAAGCAACAAAACCCATCTATTTCCAAGCAAACTAACCGATCAAGAGGACACCAATGTGCACAACCACACGCAGCAAGGGAGCTTTGATTGCCCAGCTCTCCGCAGCGGATGCTCGCAAGGCGGTAGGCGACCGCCATTGCCTTGACATAGCCCATTCCCACAGAAACATCACGGACCCCAAAAAGCTTTGGCAGTCCACTTTTGGAGGCATCTCCCCTGTGCGAACCTTCTGGGTCCCATATTGATTCGCGGAGCCCCTGCGCTTTCCAATGAGCTCCGCGCTTTTCAAGTCTCAGGTTCCAGGAAACGAAGCCTGGCGGATGTTCGAACAGAAGAGCATGGTCTATCTAGCGGGTGTGGTTCCGTTTCTTGAGGGTATCCTTTGGTGTCGGTTTAAAGAGAAACCTGAAAAGGAAAGCCATCATTTTTAAGACACACACACACACACACACACAGCATGATGTCACTTGAATCTCTGTAGCAAAACCTTCTACAAGTGGGCAAACTTCGGCATGCTTGTGGCGTGGGCATCATTGGCAGCAAATGCAAGCTTTGCATGGACGTTGCGCAAACCAACGCAAACACCAGCATCACGCATATCACGAGCAAAAATAATCGCCATGACCTTACCCGCATCATCAGCATTACCAGCATCACAAGCACTAGCGTCCACCAGCATCATCAGCAATGCCAGCATCACCGGCATCACAGGCAAAGCCCGACAATGATTATCAAGCAACGTTGTTGGTAGCATTTTAACAATTTGCGTCATAATCAAAACAAAATCCGGTATCAAAACATGGCTACCAGAGCCATGTCAGAAGTAAGAAGGCACCTGGTTGGGATTGTGACTAGCAAGTGGTTCATTGGACTATTCGAGAGAAGAAAATTTTAGCATCGCCCTCACTCGCAGCGCTCGCCTCGGCCAGCCAGAAGGCCAACGGCCAGCGCCAGCGCGCTTCTTGCCCTGCCCCTGCCGGGCCTCGCTCCCAAAGCCACAAATATGAGCGCCATATCTAAGGACAATAGCAGTGTATGACAAGTGTGTATATATATATACATAAACACATACATATGTATATATATATACATATACACATACATATGTATATATATATATATATACATATACACATACATATGTATATATATACATAAACACATACATATGTATATATATATACATAAACACATACATATGTATATATATATATACATAACACATACATATGTATATATATATACATATACACATACATATGTATATATATATACATAAACACATACATATGTATATATATATACATATACACATACATATGTATATATATACATAAACACATACATATGTATATATATATACATAAACACATACATATGTATATATATATATACATATACACATACATATGTATATATATATACATATACACATACATATGTATATATATACATAAACACATACATATGTATATATATATACATATACACATACATATGTATATATATACATAAACACATACATATGTATATATATATACATATACACATACATATGTATATATATACATAAACACATACATATGTATATATATATACATATACACATACATATGTATATATATACATATACACATGCATATATGTATATATATATATACATATACACATACATATGTATATATATATATACATATACACATGCATATATGTATATATATATATACATATACACATACATATATGTGTATATATATATACATATACACATACATATATGTATATATATATATATATACATATACACATACATATATGTGTATATGTATATATATATACACATACATATATGTATATATATATATATATACATATACACATACATATGTATATATATACATATATATATATATGTATGAGCACTCATACGACAATTCAAGCATCTAAACATCTGGAGATGCCGAAAATCGAAACCCCATCGGCTGGGCTTCAGGCCCCGGCGTACGCGCCATCTCGGACTTCTATGCTGATAATCTTTGGGGTTGTACAGTCTTAATTGAGATCACTTGCAAGGCTCCGTCGCCTACCCTCAAGTCTAAGAAGCAAAAAGCAATTGCTAAGCTGTTGATGTGCACACTAGAAATCATAGTGCCAATAAGCTGCGAGGATAAATGATAAATGTCATGGCACACAGTGTGGCATTCCTGCAAGGCGCGACTGAGAAGCGCCCAAAAACCATTGATCTTTGATCCTATCAACATGTAAAGATGGCTATAGGACGTACTATAACCTGAATGAAAGCAGGTAGTGGAACCACCTACTCGCATGGCCAGATTGGGTTTTGGGCGCTGCTCAATTCATGATGCACCCTGCATAGGTCACCACTCCAGAAATTGCGAGAACCACACTGTTGTGCGAATCCTGCAGCGGCAGAATTGCCTCCAAAAGCTTAAGGCCAGAGATCGGCTTGGGCTTTGGCGTCGATTTGATGTAGAAGACGCCAATGTTTATCTGGGCAAACATTCCAAATGCACCTCGCTCCATAAGAACTGAGACACGCACGCAGTCTCCATCACCATGCGATGCGAAAATGGTCTCCTGGCCCTTTCGGAGGGCCTGCAGACAGAAGTCCGAAGGCAAAAACCGAGAACAAACCTTCTATGACGTCTAACTGGGGACCTGTGGCTTTTGAGGCGACCCGGGAAAACTGTGGTTTTGCTCTTGGCTGTCCTCTGAAACCTCAACAAGGGTACCCTCGGACAAGACACGCTCATTGGTGGACGAAATGTTCATGGGGATCCTTCTGTCCCAATGATCCAACCTGATAGCTCCTCGCCTGAGACAGCACTTCTGGAAGCGGGTTCCGCAGAAAAATCCTCAGAGCGAAATCATTCGCGGCGGCTATACAAAAGCCGAACTCAGGATTCCGCGTGTCCATGTCGAAGTAGAAAACATCCACGCCGAGGTGGAGAAGAATATGCACAATGGTAAACCTGGAAAAGTCATGGCACTTGAACTTCATAGCTTGCAATGTGCCAGGGCCTATGTACTTGAGACGCGGTGTTGGGCCCTGGGCAAACGTGCGACAGTCTGAGATGACTTCCACCAGCCCCCCAACACTACCCACAAGGTCAATTTGCTTACATACCCCGTATATGGTGGCTATATAGTGATGGCATAGCATGATGTACTCCATGGTGTTCCTTGGGGGTAGTGGCTTTGGGGGTAGTGGAAATCATCCTAGAGCATGGATGACAATGCACCTCTGCACTCAGCACTGCACTCCAGCATGAAACTTTCACTGCTTTCGATTTCCGCTCAAGCTGCCGGCAAGCCTGACGCAAGCACCCATTCATTTTGACCACATGCCTGTTCCAGGCCTGGAAGGCGTCATGCCCAATCGAAACCTTGCCACTTGCTGCTGAAACGACAACGACTGAAATGTATGCTCTGGGTGTTTGGTCAATTCAAGTATATTTCTTCATTTCCCAAGTTCACTGTCTTGTTGATGTGCACTGATCTTGTTTGCGACAACAATACTGCTCCTTGCTCCGTGAACACGTTGTGCGCTTGCTGCTTGGGCGCTAGGGCGTTTCCCACTAGATTACCTCAAATTCTTGATTATAAGCAGAACCTGATTTCAGGGGGACAGGACCCAATGGGAGGTGAACTGCTACCTGAATGCCAGCGCATGCTCTCAATCAAGATGAAGGCAACACATTGACTACATGGCTCAATCTGATTTGTTCTCAAGAGCAAATTGTCAAGGTGGGTATGTGCTCTGGTGTTTCTGGAATGGCCGCTCATGTTGTCAGCTGCTGATGTGTTCGTGACAACTGCATTACGGGCATGCTCCTAGTTTGTGCCTGCGCATGGCTGTTGCCAATGTGAAGCATAGCTGCAAGAGTAGACTAGTGTTCTAGTCAACTCTTGGCAAAAATGCAATGCGGGCTGACAGCCTGAGACCACCAAGCTGCAAGCAAAAGCTACGATCCGTAAAGCAATTCTGCTCGCTTTCCTGGGACAACTTTGAACTCTGTTGCCTTGGTCTCAAGCTGAGTACAATCAAGTATAGCTGGCGGGAAAGCAAGGCAGGTGCTTGCAACAACTGCTGTTGCTGCGAATTCGCCTTGGCAGCTCTGTGTGGATGTTGTCTGAAGGCCAGTGCATGTCATGTGCTGTCGCCAACGGGTAGGCCTTTCAGCGTGGGTGTAGGCCATGTCTATGAACTGGAGAGTCCCAGCAGGCGGAGGGGTCTTTCGTGTGGTTGTATTCCATCAGGACTTCCTCTCAGTTGAGGGACATGTATGTTGGTGTACGTGTACGGAAGCGTGCCCGTAGGCTTAAAGTGGGGTAGGGGCTAAACTTGAATAGGTAGCTTTGCTAAATCATTTTCGTGAGCACACTGAATTGTAAGGTCCGCACGACAAGCAAGGGCCAGGAGAAGCCAAGCCTGTCCAAGTGGGAGACCTCCACGAGTGCTGCACTGCGAGCATGGAGTTGCTGCGTCTGTGAGGCTCTAACCGTACGCTCCAGCAAATAGCTCCAGGAGCTTCCTTGCACTGCAAAAGAAGCAATGTGTTTGTGAGTGTCAATTCACCTCCAAGGCATGCATCAGCTTCACATCTCAGGTGAGCACCGTAAAGCAGCGTCAGCGCGACGTGACGCCGGCCGAGTTTGCCTGCACACCGATAAAAAAGTATTTCAAGACTGGCAAGCTGCTCAAGCAAGAAAATATATTACTGATCATCACAAGCATCTCAACACAGTATACTGTTGACCCCCTTTTAATCAACCCCAGTTCATTAATAAGGGGGTGTCCCTGGGGTTAGTGGGGAATCATCACTTTTGGAGGGAACCCCCCCCCCATCAATGAACCGGGGTTGAGTATTAGGGGGTCAACATTGCACCAACCATCTTCACCGCAAGCTGTTGGCATGTGACTGCAGCGGATCAGTTTGTGCCTCTGGTCGTGCTCAGGATGGCATCAATCGCCTGTCAAGCGTCACTCTAGCAAGCGTCACTCCAACCTGCTTGGCGGATGTGGAGCTACCCGATCTTGAGTGGGGAACGTTTGTCCAAACAAATGGCAAGGGGACAGCCCAAATGGTGGTTTCCCTTTAGTTTGCCCTTAATCATAATTTAACAAACGGTGCCCTCAAAAAGACACATCCATATGGGTGTGTGCGTGTGTCTCTGAGGTACATAGCTTCAGGCAGCCAATGCCTGGCGCAGGATTCGCCGACGGCCGACAGCCTGGCAAATCACTTTTGAGAGTATTCCCGGTCAACAATCCCTTCAAAAGCACTCCTGCATTTTGACTCGCGCCCATGGCCACGTCACTAGCTTTGTACACAGGCCCCTGCGTGGTGACCTCATTTCTGCCTCAGGCGTTGAGGCCGTCTTCAGGGCCCTTGAGAAACAATTGCACAACCTGAGCAGCGAGTGTTCTGGATGCGTCAAAACCAAATGACTTTTGTGCGCCCATTTTGAAGTCAAAGCAGGATCCCCCAATCTGAGTAGCTCAACTGTCAAGTACTCTCTGTAAGGTACATACTCCCATATCCAGGAGGACTTGAAGAATGCACAGGCGCTCGAAGCCATCGGCGCTTGGCAAATCCCTCACATATTGCGGGGTTTCCTCAGCATGTCCAGGTCACAAGGAATCGCAACAAATCCTGGCGCTTACAACTTGCGGCTAAGAGGCTCTCAGTGCACGAATAAGCTTGGAAGCGGACTTCGTGATCTGCCGTCAGGTTCGGGCATTTGACACTGTGACAGGTTTGTCTCTAAATGGAAGAACCCGACAATGAGTGGTGTCCCTTTCGCTTTCCTTCAAAAGAAACCCAAAAGGGTACCCTCAAAGACACACCCTAAATGGAGCAGCGCCGGCCTGCATCTTCATTGCGCGGCCGTCTGTTCGCGCAAAGATTGCCTCCTCGCTGCCTCTCCGAAAGCTCTGAATAAAAGAAAACAAACGGCCCTGGGCCCGGCTCGGACGGCCTTCTTGACAGCAGCAGCTCACACCGTGCATCAGCCGCACCCTGTCACAAGCTGCTCGAAATCCGCACATCAACTGGATTAAAAAAAGAACTGAACCAAAGACTTCAAGTTGACCCCCAAAACGAAGACTCTCTGCCTCCTGCTTCGCGTCACCAAAGGAACGGAGCCAGCATTGCAAAGTTGAGCAAATAGCCGGTCCTCACGAAAATATGCACGATTGTTTCTGCGTTGTTGTTGTTTTTTGCGTTGTGCAGCACGTTGCCTGCCTGGCCATCGTTGGTCTTGTCCTCTGCCACCACAAGTCAACTTGTTCCCAAAAACGAGACCGGGTGCCCGGCCATTCTCTGCTCAAAGCTGCTCAGCACAGCATCTGCAGAGAGCGAAGATGTCCAAGAGCCAAGCAGGTCCTTCGAAGGAATAAACCGTTAGACGTGAGTCAAACCCACCGAGAAAATATCGGAAACGATTCTGTTACCCCATTGACGTGGATTTATTGCATCTCTTTTCTGAGTCCTGGATCTTGGCATCGAGTGTCTCTTCGTTGTGGTCCGGATCTGCCAGAATCTCTGCCAAAGATGCCTTTGTCAGGAGAGAGATGCAAGGTGCAAGTGCTTTCTTTTTGTATTCAGGCCTGGCAGAAGGTCCGATCGGAAGAGCTCCTGCATGCTGTAGTACGCGGGTGTCTTGTTTTTTCTTTTCTGAGTTGCGAAACCCCCCCCCCCCCCAAGCAAAAGGTCTAATCTCATGCACCAGGGATGACCACGGGTCACACCAAAGAGCAGCCATTCTTTTGATGGGAAAGCTAAAAGGACAGCAAGCAGTTTGGAGGATCCATGGAACAACCCGCTGAGTCTATTGCCAGCTTCTGGCCTGAGCTCGCTGTTGAAGTGCTTCACCAGCTGGACACCCCAACAAAAATCGCTCGTGGGCCTCAAGCCAAGGACTGGGTCTGAATTTCCTTTCTGGACCCTTTGCTGCAATTGCTTTACAAGAATTTCGACAGCCGGCCATTTGAGGCAGCAAAAATCCAGCAAGTTCATACGCTCCCGACCAAGTTCCTTCTGAAAAAGCACGTGGAAGCCGCTCGGGCCCTGACACTGTGATGGTGATATGCAAGGACGGCTCTGAACTCGTCGCTGCTTCATGCAAGTACCCCCTCGGAATGTACAGCACCTAAGTGAGATTCGGCGCGGCCTCCCCTTCAAAGCACGTGCAGCAAAGTGGGTGAACCCCCCCTGTCCAAGCAAAAGGGTTTGTGCCCGTGAAGTTTCTTGTGAAACTGCAGCTTGGAATCGTCATGTGCGCGCATGGTGAAGTCCATCTCTGGTTCGCCAATGAGATTCTCTGGCACTGCTTGTTCTTTGCCAAGCATCTCCTATTGCAAGCTTCGCCATCAGTTGCTGTTCCCGGAAACCCCGGACCGGGAAATTCGTTGGCATACCCCTCCCTGGACTAAATCTGGGAGGTCTGCCCTGCAACAAAGCATAGACTAGAGCAATTCTTGACGGAACCTCATGATCACCTGAGTGCAGGTTCATCGCTTCAGCGCGAATCACCTGGCCTCCGTGTAGGGTAAATGTGTCGGCGCGTTGTAGAGCCTCCATTTCTTGCTCCCCCAAACCTGCAGCAGAATGACATCCTGGTCGTCGGTGTGCACTCGCACTGCCTGGGCCCACAAGCTCTCTGTGTCTGTTTTTGAGTGTACTTTTTGTTTGTGGCTTTTACGGGGAAACCAAAAGGAAAAACCGAAATCCATTTTGGTGGGTCTCACCTCGGGAAAAAAGACAGGATCTTCCAGCGCCAGCCTGCGAGCCGGGAGGTGTCAGGTACACCACCGCGAACACGTGGTGAAAGTGTCGGCAGGAGAGGCCTGACGAAAAAAGTTCATGGCCGCGAGACTTGACGCTGCAGGGTTCTACTTCTTGACTTACCCTAGGGTAGACTTAAACCCAGGGGCCCCAAAAGGAGAACTGGTGGGTTGCCGTCAATCTTGGGGTAGTCAAAAAGTGGAACCCTGTGACGCTGAGCCGGTCCTTTGCAAAGATCGTAAAGTACCTTGTTGTGGCGGTCTGCCTGGCACTCGTCTCAAGCTGGAAAAATGGAGATGCAAAAATGCAAGCTCTTTTTCAGCCTGGTTGACCACCATGCTGTACCCGGCCAAGTAAGAATGCCCTGGGATCGCAAGAAGCGGTTGCTCGTTCTCGACGGCTCTCGCATCACACTGCAACCAGCTAGGAACAAGGCATGGAGTGGGCAGGTCACTCGTTGCATTTGACTTGAACATCTTGAGGTTGATACCTCTGCGACACAAACGTGTCCCCGGCAACCTCTCACGCGGGCCCAGAACGCATGGTCTTTCGTGCCTTAAAGGGTTGAAGACAACCTGAAAGGGTCGTTTAACCATGGGAGACATGGCGTCCCTGCCTATAGCACTGCTGACCAGCGCGGCCAGGTCATCTGCGAACAATGCCTCCGGAAGCCGATTCGCACCTCAGGTGACCCAGGTGGTTGGTGCAGGTCAAATTTGGTGATGCCCAGAAGGGCCTTTTCAAAATGCCCTGCAAGGTTTTCCGAGGATATGAAACTTACACGAGTGGCATATAAATCTGCTCAGCTCCTGACGACATCCTCTATCAGAGGCACAGTAGTGCAACGGCTTCCGCTCCCAGTGCTCCTTCCAGGACTGTTGTCCCACGAAGGGGGTACCCCTAAGGAGACCAAATGGTCATGTATTCTTGTGCTTTGAACCACGTTACGTTTTATGGCCAAGAAGGGAGGTATGATTGACCTAGTTGGGGAGTACCACCCTACACAACATTGGCCCGAAACGGGGCTAAAAGCCGAAGCCCCTTTCAGCAGACTTATGTTCAACTCCTCGAAGAAGGTCTGGTCCAGAATCTCCTGCAAGCAACACAGTTGCATCTCGTGTCGTCATTCCCACAGCCTTTACGTTTGACCATGGGGTCTGACGCACACAAATCACAAAAAGCCGAGCCAGCTGGTCCTGGCAAAGCCCTTCCGCGACTTCGGTGCCAGAAGGTCCACCGGTCCCATCGCCACAGGTCTTTGTACCCATGGCTTTAAAGCGAAACGGCTTTCAGGGTTGCTAGGATAAACTCTACCACTTACACACCGCCACTGGAAAAGGGCGTTGATCGATATTCTTGGCCCGCAAATGACCATGGGTAACTTGTCCTATTTAGTGGGAAGTATGTTTCTTTTGGTGGCTTCCCCCAATGGTCATCCCATATTGAGGACCTCTTGATCAAAAATCCCAACACTTTGCGAATTCGCCTGGTTGTTTTGGGGACATGGAGTCTCCCATGTCTGAAAAGATCATCAAACTTGGACTGAACCTCACAAGAAATGCTGGAATCGCGTTCTTGCAAAACGTGTCCAAACAAATATTCCCTTGCAGACGTCTTGAACCTTCTTGGCACGTACACAAAGGCAACTAATGCAAGCTGAATAGGAATGCACCCGTTTCATTGACGATGGTTGTATAATATGGGGATTGCTATACACCCTAAGCCATCAGACTGCTATAGCCACTGATGTTTACGCGGGCAACCAGCCTTCCTGTGCAGAATTCTCGCAAAGCCATGCCACGGCAAACGGGCAATGGCCAGTGCCTGCCGAAGCCCAAGTGAGCTTGGGGTTGTGAAAATGGGCTGAAACCTTCGCTTAAAACATGGCAACCACCATTGAGAGGGAGAGAAAGACGTGGCAACCACCATTAAAAGTCAAACCTCCAGTCTTGAAAGGGAGATTCCTTCACAGTTCGCCCCTTTGCTACCCCTGACTTGACAAACCAGTCGATTTCCTAGGCCCCACAGGGCCATCTTCCGGCCTTCTTCGCCCCCTGCTGGCGCCAAGCCGTAGCTGCCATGCCTCAATTCCATAGGTGGCTTCTCTGGGCTCAAGCCAACTCAAAAATAGGTCTCGATAAAAGACACCCCCGTCCCGTTTGCCGACAAGATAATGTGTTTTTCGGCGATGTCAGCCCCTTCAGGTCTGCACATGACGTATCCTAACTCAAAGGCATCGGGGCAGGGTGCTGTGCTGCGGCGGCGGCACGAGCGGCGACAGCTCCTTGCAGTGGCTCCAATCTCAATGGTTTTGCTGGCTCTTGTGATCATTTCCGCCTCAGCGAACACCCAGGCGCAACACAAACGCCCGAGTCAGTCATAGATTGGATTCTGCGATCTACTGAATATCTTGAGAGGATCTGTGGTTCTGCGAAGTGAGGTTGTCGATCTGCCATTTACTTTCCGAATGTTCCTGGCACCTTTGCAAAGCAATGCGTTCATGGCCGCGCAAAACGTCATTTAAGCAGACTGTTTCTGCATGCACAAGGAATCGAAAGATATGCCTTGCTAATTTGTGTTTGTTGCAGAATTTGCTGGGGATTCCCATGCTGAAAAACATTGAACATGCTAGCATTGAAGCCTCCCAAATGGTCCTTGGCAAAGGAATATCACGAAATACAAGCGATACTGGAGGTTCCTGGGGCAAAGCATGGTGCAGCCTTCAAAGTGTTCAGCTGATAGGAGAATGGACTTCGCATCTGTGGTTGGTTCACGGTGGGGTGGGGTGGGGTGGGGTGGGTGGGTGTGGGCGGGTAGTACGTGGGTGGGCGCAGGTGGATGGACTGGTGGGTGTGTGTGTGTGTGGGCGTGGTTGTGGGTGGGCGAGGGTGCAGAATGCTGATTATTGAACAATGCAATCTGGAAGGCACAACAAGCTACAAGGCTGTTTTCTTTGTGGAGATCAGTCTGACGTGATGCTTGATACAATCTAGCATATACATATATATATATATATATATGCAACCCCCCCCCATGGACCCTGGTTTTACTGCCTTTTGGGGCAAATCTAGAATTTCCAAATTTATATTCTCGAAATTTCTAATTGTGGGTCCCCAAAGCGTGATAACTTGGAGCCCGGAGTCCTCCACAATGTCCCAGTATGATACCCTTACTTCAACTAGAATTGGAATTTTGAATATAGTTTAGTATGGATATAGTTTTCAAAAATGTGTTTATGTTCAATTACAGCTTAAACAAGCAAATCCTTTCCAAATAACAGCTACATGAGAATGTAAATATATATATATATATATATGTTCGGCTAAATTTCAACTAATCTATAACACAAGAAGTTAGATGGAAGTTGTTTCCCAAATATAATCGAAGTGGTAAATATAATCTAAGACGAAACAACTCAATTTGCTTTTGATAATATCAAGTGAACAGAGACTACATCTCAAATATAAGTCATACTAAATATGGCTAAACATTTGAAAATTCAACATAGGATTTGTGTTATTTACATTCTGGCCCTTTTGTAGCATAAGAAAGATCCGACATTGAACTTGTTAGCTAAACCGTTGTATTTTAAAGTTCTATTTGCGCAGGAAAGTTAATTCTATCTCAAAAGGTGGAGGTAGTAGATTAGCAAATATGGACAGGTAGTTCAAGAGGGTGGGGGACGGTGTGTGAACGTATATACATATGTATATCTATATACACACATACATACACACACATATATAGTACGCCCAATGATCCTGCGCCTGCTCATAAAATACTGGAAATTCAGTATTTTGAGCGTTACACCTGCCTTTGTTTACCTCCTGGAAAGGGGTCAACATGAGCATAGCTGACATGAAGCTCACCAAAAGCACTTGAAAGTTTGTCTAACCAATAACTTGAAAGTGTGTCCACTGGATCGCTAAGCACTTGAAAAAAATGCTACTATCGGACGGAAGATTCAAGATTGAAGATTACACAGACAACTTTCCTGAGAATTGTCAATCCTGGCCAAACCCAAATAGCATTCAAGTTCTTCTAACACTTGAAAGTGCTTTACCACTGGATTGGGGATTCAATATTGAGGAGAACACAAACCACCACTTTCCTGAGAATCATCCATCCTGGTCAACCCCTAAAAATGTTCAAGTTGTTCTATCACCTCGAACATCCGTTACCACTGGATTGAAATATTTCACGGAAAACTTTTCCGAGAATCCTATTGAACACCGAGAGTATTGGGACATCCCTGGATTGTTTTTTAAAAATTATGGGATTCAAGATTCAAGATTCCCAGAAAATATTTTCTCACATTCTTGAATCTTGAATCTTGAATCCCATATTTTTTATTTTTTTTTTTTTTTTTTTATATTTTTTAATGTCTGAGTTGTTCTTGTATTCTTGGATGCATTCAAACTCTTTCAGATTGCAGGTGCTAATGTCATTGATTTTATCACATCTGTATGCATGCATGCGTATCATATACATGTATGACCCTCCCCCCAATTTTGACACAAATCCAAGAAGCAAAAATAAGCATAAAACACGGGAAAATACAGGTCAACCGCACCAAACCAGGGTCCATGGGGGGGGGGGTACCATATATGGTCGCCATTTGCACTGCCAGTGTGGCAATGAATTTCAATCGAGGATCCTTTGGCGGAGGGGAGGAATCTCGATGTCTGTCTTTTTGGGCTGAGCACCCGTCTTTTTGGATGGATTTGAAGCGAAACCAACAGGAACACCCAAGGTCCAACCATAAACGGCACCACACCCAATGTGTCCTCCAAGTGCAGGTCCAGGTCTGCGAACTTCCGCACATACTTGTAGTTGCGATCCGCATACCTGGCAAGGTGATGCATGATCCCCCCGTCGGATGCAATTCGAGCAAGTCCGACCTCAAGCCCTTGTTGGAGTCGGAGAGCACTGCCAAGACGTGGCCTTGGCTTCTCAGTTGGCCAGTCCCATGCCGGAAAGCCAGCCACCCGCCTAGCGGCCAGCCGCAAGAAACGGCTGATAGCAGACCCTGAGATGAGATTTTGCGCGAGGCATTGTGGACTAGGACGCTTCGCTCCAGCGAGCCTCGTGAATCGTCTTGTCGAGGAGTCTGCTGTGCTCATCAAATTGGTGCCTGCACAGTGAAAACCTCCCTCAAAGTGAGTTCTGGGAGGCCCCCTGAGGGCTTGTAGGCCCTCCATGTTGTCAATAGACTACAAGACTTGGGAGGTTGGACCCCCTCCGAAAATATGTGGTTCTGCTCTTGGTTCACCTTTTGCCCTCCCCCTGCACCAACATGGAACCTGACAGGGGGGTCTTGCAAGACCGTTTTCCTTTTAAAGGGCCTGGGTCCCTGTCAGGCTCCATGTTAATTGGTGGGAGGGTACAAAACAACCGACCCACTTGAGCCGGGAACGTGAGCTGAGCCACGGCAGTGGTGGCCTGCCAACTTTACAAGTCGACTGACGCGCTCGCGCGCTGGTCAGCGTAGTGGCCTGGACTGCTGCCAGAAATGCGGAACCCACCGGGCACCTTGTGGAGGTTCCAAGAAGGGAAATGGAGAAAGCCCCGTCAATCTCTTGTCTTAGGTCTGCACTCTTTCAGGGCCTGCTCCCATCGCTCAGCAGACTCTTCCTGCAACTCCAATGAGCCACATTTTGGGGGTGGGAGGGGTGGACTCGCAACACACCCGGCCATGAAGCTCGTCATCACCAGGAGCATCCTGATCACCTGCAACACACTGCATCACGCATGGCCAAAGCCCACTCCGCACCTCTGGACTGCGAGATCCGTGCACCCACTGCAACTGCGACCTTTCAATGGGAGTCCAATGGGTCCGTCGACAGGTTTACTACTGGGTGTCGCATGCAGAATCAAGTCCAGCTCCATTCGTTTGCGATGGCCCGCAGCTGCTTCCAGTTGACGACCTCAGCGACAAGCAGTTCTGTACTATCAGCCGTCCCGGTCAACAGAACTCCAAATAGAGTGCCTCCTCTTAAGTGCTGATTGCGTTGTTCAACGCTCATGGCCACTACAGCTGCTGAGAGCAACTCGCCGTTGCTGATATCATCACACCTGGAACGATGCGTCAAATCTCAAGCCGGTTGCAACACCGGTTGAGAAGAACATCAATGCCCTCGATTGCAGAACTATTCTAAGGTCCCAACACATTGCGTGGTACATCAGCCACGTCCTTCTCGTCTGCAAAAACCTCTCTCATGCTGCACGAAGACTGCCTTCAATGCCTGTGCCGTGCTTTTAGTCTGCTTCTGCCATCTCTGATCAGCCTGTATTCCCCAAGATTTCGCAAGAAACAAAACAAGAGAGACTAGGTGCGCCGATGGGACATTCGGTCTCACAGTCTCGCATCCGATCTAAGAGCAAGTGGGAGCATTCAGGAGGATGATGAAACACAAGGACGTGAATTGAGTGTGTCTGATCGAAGCTTCGCGGAGATGGGGTGAGAGAGGTAGACAGACAAAGACACATAATGTACTAGCGACGAAAAGTGACAGAAATGCAGGCACGCAGAGTCATGGAAAGGATGATGAGTATGTATGTGGTGTCCATGGTGAGGACGTGAATGATGAGTATATGGATGATAAGTACATGGATGATGATTGTGATGATGATGATGATGATGATCATGATGATGATGATGATCATGATGACGATGATGATCATGATGATGATGATGATCATGATGACGATGATGATGATGATGATGATCATGATGACGATGACGATGATGATGATGATGATGATGATGATGATGATCATGATGACGATGATGATGATGATGGTGATGATGATGATGATGATGATGATGATCATGATGACGATGATGATGATGATGATGATGATGATGATGATGATGCAGCTGGTGGTGGTGATGATGATGACGATGGTGATGGTGATGGTGGCGATGATGATGGTAGGAAGTGTAATGGTGGTGGGGATGAAAAAGGAAATGCAAAGCACGGTGAGAAGGAAAGAAGCCCAATCTCTTCGTCTCCATCCAGCCATTTCCTTTTCATGGGCCCCATGAAAAACACGCTGCAAACACATGGTTCTGTGGATGGTGCATGTGGAACAGCTTTGCGGAGTCCAAAGCAAACCTTTGGCAGACTGACCATGTCTGGAGAACGTGCAACATTCTCTCCTTGTCCAGGTGCAGGGTGAACATCTCTATAGCCTGCCACACCCGCAAAGCGAGTGATCACATGCGTCAAGTCCCAGCCTCGAAAATCGGCCAGCGACTTGAGCAGATCTGGCCGAACAGTCTCATCGCAGCCAGTCTCCGAAGTTCTGAGGACCAGGCGACATGGACTGGAAACTCGCTAGCGATGGCGTCCTTACACAAAAACATCAGCGTGTGTCATTTTCAGAATACCACTTTTGGGGGTGGTTGAAAGGAAATCAAAAGGAAACCAACCAATTTTGGGGTTCCCCAATTTTGAGACAAACCAAAAAGTGGCTAATGACTGAAAGAATAGCCCGCCAATTCTGAGCTCCTGGCAGCAAAGTGTGCCGCCACCTGCATCACCTACGTGCATCGAAAGCCCCTCACACAAGCGCGCAAGCCATCACAAAATCCCTTTGGAAGGAAAATGGCATTCCAGGACCGGTTCTGTTTCTTGTTTCTGTGGAGGGTGCGCATGTCCCTTTGCCTAGGCTTCCCTTTGTCTGAGACCTTGGCATGAGCTCGGCTCGACGGATCCTGGTGGCAACAACAAACCAGCCCACTCTAAACATTGCAACAAGGATCGAGCCTCTTCGGTGTTCTGCATGTGCGCGGTAAAGAAGTGGATCACGGCAAGATTGAGAAGCTGGCATGTGTTGTTGCTGCCAAAACATGCGTGGGCGAATGCACGCGGCTTGTTGCTTGTTGGTGCGTGCGTGTACGCGTGTGTGCGTGTGTGCGTGTGTGTGCGTGTATGCGTGTGTGCGTGTGTGTGCGTGTGGGCGTGTGGGCGTGTGGGCGTGTGGGCGTGTGCGCGTGTGCGCGTGTGCGCGTGTGCGCGTGTGCGCGTGTGCGCGTGTGCGCGTGCGCGCGTGTGCGCCTGTGCGCGTGTGCGCGTGTGCGCGTGTGCGCGTGTGCGCGTGTGAGCGTGTGCGCGTGTGCGCGTGTGCGCGTGTGCGCGTTCGCGCGTGTGCGCGTGTGCGCATGCGTGTGCGTGTGCGTGTGTGCGTGTGTGTGTGTGTGTGTGGTGTGTGTGTGTGGTGTGTGTGTGTGGTGTCTGTGTGGTGTGTGTGTGTGATGTGTGTGTGTGGTCTGTGTGTGGTGTGTGTGTGTGTGGTGTGTGTGTGTGTGGTGTGTGTGTGTGGTGTGGTGCGTTGTGGTGTGGTGTGGTGTGGTGTGGTGTGGGTGTGTGGGTGTGGGGGGTGGGTGTGTGTGGGTGTGTGTTGGTGTGTGTTGGTGTGTGTTGGTGTGTGTGTGTGTTGGTGTGTGTTGGTGTGTGTGTTGGTGTGTGTTGGTGTGTGCGTGTGTGTTGGTGCGTGTTGGTGTGTGTGTGTGTGTTGGTGTGTGTTGGTGTGTGTGTGTTGGTGTGTGTTGCTGCGTGTGTCTGTTGGTGCGTGTGTGTGTTGGTGCGTGTTGGTGTGCGTGTTGGCGCGTGTTGGTGTGTGTTGGTGTGTGTTGGTGTGTGTTGGTGTGTGTTGGTGTGTGTTGGTGTGTGTTGGTGTGTGTTGGTGTGTGTGTGTGTTGGTGTGTGTTGGTGTGTGTTGGTGTGTGTTGGTGTGTGTTGGTGTGTGTGCGTGCGTGTTAGTGTGATGGTGTGTGTGTGTGTTGGTGTGTGTTGGCGCGTGTTGGTGTGTGTTGGTGTGTGTGTGTTGGTGTGTGCTGGTGTGTGTGTGTGTGGGGGTTGGTGCGTTGGTGCGTTGGTGTGTGTGTGTGCGTTGGTGTGTGTTGTTGTGTGTTGGTGTGTGCGTGCGTGTTTGTGTGATGGTGTGTGTGTGTTGGTGTGTGTTGGCGTGTGTGTGTGTGTGTGCGCGTGCGTTGGTGTGTGTTGGTTTGTGTTGGTGTGTCTTGGTGTGTGTGTGTGAACCACGCTAGTTCATGCATGTTGATGTTTGCCGCAAACTGCGTTTTGGAGTCTGAAGCAAAGCTGACGGGGGTCTCCAGTGACCCCTTTGCAGGGGCGCCCATGTGTGTGAACCATACTAGTTCACGCACATCTGACGAGGGTCTCCACTGCTGATGACCCAACCCCCCGATCAGCGGGCTCCGGCTGACCTGGGCACATTGGTCGCGGCTGGTAGCCCAGACTGAACACTGGCCCGCGCGGGATTCCTTCAAACACCGCCGCTACCAAGGCGATCCTTCGTGGCAACTGAGGTCATACCGGCGGAGTACGCATCCCCCACTCTTCTCCCGCCTGCTTTCTTTCTACCAGTGTATGTTCGTGTGTGTGTTGGTGTGCGCTGGTGCGTGTGTGTGTTGGTGTATTGGTGCGTTGGTGTGTTGGTGTGTGCTGGTGTGTGTGTGTGTTGGTGCGCTGGTGTGTTGGTGCGTTGGTGTGTTGGTGCGTTGGTGTGTTGGTGTGTTGGTGCGTTGGTGTGTTGGTGTGTTGGTGCGTTGGTGTGTTGGTGTGTTGGTGTGTTGGTGTGTTGGTGTGTTGGTGTGTTGGTGTGTTGGTGCGTTGGTGCGTTGGTGTGTTGCTGTGTTGCTGTGTTGGTGTGTTGGTGTGTTGGTGCGTTGGTGTGTTGGTGTGTTGGTGTGTTGGTGTGTTGGTGTGTTGGTGCGTTGGTGTGTTGGTGGGTTGGTGGGTTGGTGCGTTGGTGTGTTGGTGTGTTGCTGTGTTGGTGTGTGGGTGTGTTTGGGTGGTGTGTGTTGGTGCGTTGGTGTGTTGGTGTGTTGGTGTGTTGGTGTGTTGGTGTGTTGGTGTGTTGGTGTGTTGGTGTGTTGGTGTTGGTGTGTTGGTGTGTTGGTGTGTTGGTGTGTTGGTGTGTTGGTGCGTTGGTGCGTTGGTGCGTTGGTGTGTTGGTGTGTTGGTGTGTTGGTGTGTTGGTGTGTTGGTGTGTTGGTGTGTTGGTGTGTTGGTGGGTTGGTGCGTTGGTGCGTTGGTGCGCTGGTGCGTTGGTGTGTTGGTGTGTTGGTGTGTTGGTGCCTTGGTGCGTTGGTGTGTTTGCTGTGTTTGGCGTGTTTGGTGTGTTGGTGTGTGTTGGTGTGTGTTGGTGTGTGTGTGTGTTGGTGTGTGTTGGTGTGTGTTGGTGTGTGTTGGTGTGTGTGTGTTGGTGTGTGTTGGTGTGTGTTGGCGTGTTGGTGTGTGTTGGTGTGCGTCGGTGAGTGTTGGTGTGTGTTGGTGTGTGTTGGTGTGTGTGTGTGTGTTGGTGCGTGTGTTGGTGTGCGCTGGTGTGTGTGTGTGTTGGTGTGTTGCTGTGTTGGTGTGGTCGTGCGCGTTGGCGTTGGTGTGTCTTGGTGTGTTGGTGTGTTGGTGTGTTGGTGCGTTGGTGCGTTGGTGTGTTGGTGCGTTAGTGTGTTGGTGCGTTGGTGTGTTGGTGTGCTGGTGTGTTGGTGTGTTGGTGTGTTGGTGTCTTGGTGTGTTGGTGTGTTGGTGTGTTGCTGTGTTGGTGTGTTGGTGCGTTGGTGTGTTGGTGTGTTGGTGCGTTGGTCTGTTGGTGTGTTGGTGTGTTGGTGTGTTGGTGTGTTGGTGTGTTGGTGTGTTGCTGTGTTGCTGTGTTGGTGCGTTGGTGTGTTGGTGGGTTGTTGGGTTGGTGTGTTGGTGTGTTGATGTGTTAGTGTGTTGGTGTCTTGGTGTGTTGGTGCGTTAGTGTGTTGGTGTGTTGCGTTGGTGTGTTGGTGTGTTGGTGCGTTGGTGTGTTGGTGTGTGGGTGTGTTTGGGTGTGTTGGTGTGTGTGTTGGTGTGTTGGTGTGTTGGTGTGTTGGTGTGTTGGTGTGTTGGTGCGTTGGTGCGTTGGTGTGTTGGTGTGTTGGTGTGTTGGTGTGTTGATGTGTTGGTGCGCTGGTGTGTTGGTGTGTTGGTGTGTTGGTGTGTCGGTGTGTTGGTGGGTTGGTGCGTTGGTGCGTTGGTGCGTTGGTGCGTTGGTGCGTTGGTGTGTTGGTGTGTTGGTGTGTTGGTGCGCTGGTGCGCTGGTGTGTTGGTGGGTTGGTGGGTTGGTGTGTTTGGTGTCTTTGTGTGTTGGTGTGTTGGTGCGTTGGTGTGTTGGTGTGCTGGTGTCTTGCTGTGTTGGTGTGTCGGTGTGTTGGTGTGTGTCTGTGTTTGTGTCTGTGTCTGTGTGTTTGTGTGTGTGTTGTGTGTGTGTTTCTGTGTGTTTGCGTGTGTGTGTGTGTGTTTGTGTGTGTGTTTGTGTTTGTGTTGCGTGTGTGTTTGTGTGTGTTTGTGTGTGTGTTTGTGTGTGTGTGTGTGTTTGTGTGTGTGTGTGTGTTTGTGTTGTGTGTGTGTGTGTGTTTGTGTGTGTGTGTTTGTGTGTGTGTTTGTGTGTGTGGGTGTGTGTGTGTGTGCGCGTGCGCGTGCGCGTGCGCGTGCGCGTGCGCGTGCGTGTGCGTGCGCGTGTGCGTGTGCGTGTGCGTGCGCGTGTGTGTGCGTGTGCGTGTGCGTGAGCGTGAGCGTGTGCGTGTGCGTGTGAGTGTGCGTGTGCGTGTGCGTGTGCGTGTGCGTGTGCGAGTGCGTGTGCGTGCATGTGTGCGTGCGCGTGCGCGTGCGCGTGCGCGTGCGCGTGCGCGTGCGCGTGCGCGTGCGCGTGCGCGTGCGCGTGCGCGTGCGCGTGCGCG